GCTCAAGTACCTCTGGTCTAGTAGATCCAATCATTTCAAACGTTTCTAAATCCCAGAACTTCACAGTCCTGTCAGCAGAACCTGAATAATGAATGGGTACTATAAAAAATTAGAAGACCTTACAAGAAGAGTTGTGGATAGAAAAATGCAACCAATGTACCCCAGACTCACCTGTGGCTAGAAGAAACTCAAGCGGGTGAAAGTCTAGGGAACGGATAGGTCCTTCATGAGACTTAAACTCATGTAAAAGCTTTCCAGCAGTCAAATCCCATACCTATGATTTAGAATAAAGAGGTACTTTGTTATAAGAACAACTCTTAGGGATATAGAACAATGCACAAGCTCCACTTATTGATACTGCTGCTCTTACCTTCACAACGCTGTCAAGTCCTCCAGACACTACCCAACGACCATCAGGACTGAATTTGATAGTACTAATGCCACGAGTATGACCCTTGTATGTTTGGATGCATCCCTTCTTTCGGACATCCCAAATCTTTAGATTTGTGTCACTGGATCCCGATGCAAGATATTGACCAAATGGATGAAATTCAAGAGCAGAACAATCGGATCTGTGTCCAATAAAAGCTCGAACCACTACACTTCAAGAGCAAGAGTCAAAATATTAGACCTCATTATCTGAAACTATAAGTACTGTGATATACTCCAGTGCCCTCTTATATATTCCCATTTGTTACAATAAGTTATAAATGAGACAAGAAGATCAATCAGCTTACTCTTTGCTTCTTCTAGATTCCACAGCTTAATCACACCCGAAGAAGCTCCAGCGAGCACCAAAACTTCTGCTGAGTTAAAAGCTACTGAGTCAACCGGGCTTGTATGCCCACAAAGACTCTGCCAACAACAACACAGGAAAGAAAATAACATCATTTCTCAATTAAGAGAACAAGAACATCAAAACATTACTTGCTTTTTCTGCATATCAGGAAGCACTAAAACGGTAATGCCGACCATTTGCACAAACATTTGATGTAAATCTAGCTCAATTAACTATAGTTATGGCTATAAGAAGAAAATCTGGTAACCAAAACAACTGTTGACCATTACAAAAGAGAGAGAAATGTGAAACAAACCATTAACGAAGTCGGCTTGCCGATTGCCCAAAGGTTGACCTTATAATCATCTCCACCGGTTAAAAGAAGCCTTGATGTCTTCTTTCCGATACTTAGACAATTCAAATTCCCGGAATGTGCCAAAAACTCCTCTTTTTTTTATATCCAAATCAAGTCAAGTTATACACAAGAACAAATCAATACAGCTATTTAGAGACAAATTCACATCATCAAAGACAAACAAAGAAAACACAATAACAATGTTTCTTCTATCATCTGGTCTCGTTTCGGATTAAGATGGCAAAAACCCATAAGAAAATTTAATGGAAAAACCCTGAAAACGCTACAGAAACTCAAGCTGCAGATTAAACCCCACAAATACAGATAAACCCTAAAGCTACAAATTTCTAAGGATGTGGGCGAAAAACAATCAAATATGTGGCTAAAGTTTTGATCTTTGAATTCAAGTTTTAAGTTTTCAACAGAGAACAATATAAGGATACGCAGCTTATATCCACGCTTCGCCATTTGTTCTTACTCGATTTCAGACAACTCAAGCGTATACACATAGGAATACGAAAGCTGAAACCGAATCTCGAGCTTGTTTTTGTCAAAAGGAAGAATTATAATCGGAGCTGGGAAAGAGAAGAAAGTTTCAAATGTCACTAGACGACATGACTTTGGAAATTTTGACGGAGATTTTGAAAATAGAAACTTCAAATGTCACAAGACGACATAGTTAAAATACTCGATAGAGTTAGACATTTACAGAGAAACAAGAAGTTGGAAAGAAACGAGAAAAGTTAAGATTCAAAGAGTGGCACGAACGAGCAC